TTCCGGCATTCATGGCGAAGGGGAACAGGAATCCGGTTTGTCAATGAGAGTGAGGTCTATATTGATGTCCCTGTTGAGGTGGCGGAGTTAGAGAGATCCGAAGGGTTTGTATAAGAAGGCGCGGGAGGGGGTTATCAAGGAGTTTACGGGGATCAGTGCACCGTACGAGGCCCCCGAGAAACCTGAAATTCATATTCGGAGTCATGAGGTTGGGATTAAGGAGGCGGTTGCGCAGATTATTAAGTATTTGGAGGGAAAGGGCTATTTGCCTGAAAGAGCCGTGCATAATTAAAGTTATTGCCCTGGTCTTTTTTGTTCATATATACTTTCAGTTTTCATCATGTTTTTTTTTTTTTTTTTGGATCTATTCTCTTGTCTCATATTCCGGGATGTGCGATATCCAATTTATAGAGTTGGCATGAATTAGATACTAAGCATGTAGAATCACAAATATCTCATATGATTAATGATACCCGGTGAATTATGCCCAAAATTAGGGAGATAAGGGCCTCGCAAAATCACATCCTTCGTGCAAGGGCAGCATGTCCGCTGTATTCTCCCCTATCTCTTAGCATGGACGTTAAAAAGGAGGGGGGGAAAATCTAGGAGCAAATCGAGTGACAATTATAGCTATTAAGTCTGACACGATGGGCTTATATATCATCAGTAGCGAGAGAGTCGCAAATGTTCCGGGTGTAAAAGAATTGAGTCGAAACACTCCAACAAACTAAATATAAGTCGCAGGTCCCAGATACTATGACAACATTGAAAAGGAAAGAAAGAAACCGTGGGCAAGCACATTTGTAAAAATGTAGGCATTAGTAAAGAAAATAGAAACCGCATGCGATACAAACAAAAATGAAAGATCCGTGTCATCATCCAAATGTATGAATTAATTCATCATTTTCCTTCCCATTTCATGATACCGTTAAGATTCGAAATGAAAAATGAAAATAGACGAGATGCCTCCTTTTATGCGGCAGGATGTGAGTGAAGTCTGTTGGGAGCTGGCTGGCTTCAAGCTCACTCGAAGTCTATCTCGTAATATACAAAAGCGGTATACTCACCTGCTCCGCTCTCACCTGCTCCGCTGACATGCTGCATATCCAGAGGATCATCTTTTTGGACACGGCCTTTCTTATCACGCCCGAAGGCGTTGCCCGCTAGGTACGAGTATGAGTCGTCGAGGAGGCTCTTTGCTTTTCGTGCTTGTTTGTTTGTGGTCTGGTAATTTTTGTCCCCTTTGTTAGCAAGGATAATCTCCGCGGGGAGCTGAAAGAGGAAGGGTTAAGGTAAAGGAGTGTGTTGGTTGCGATCGGAAGGTGAAAAGAACCAAAGGCGCTGCATGAAGGGGTTGCAGTGGTGGCCACAAGGGAAGCACAAAAAGGACTGCAGACAGCAGGGACCAGGGAGGGAGAGTGTAGGAAAGATAAAATCCACCAACCTTTATCAATGCGCACACAAAGTCCAGCGGCAACCCATATCTCAACACCGTCTCTACAAACACCCTCAAGACAAGCACATGCACCCAAGCCATCACAGCCTCGCTCCACCCGGTCCTTGCAAGCCGCAATGTCTCGCCCCAAAGCCGCCGTGCATCGGAATTAGCTTTATCTAGATCCCTCCGCTCCTTCTCCTCGTTACCCTCAACATATTTATAATCTCTAGGTATCCACCGGTGTTCCCGACACTTATGGATGAATTCAGCGCTGTGCTTTTTGAACGTCGTGACAGCGTACAGGGTGGATTCGTCATCTGAAGCGACAAACGTTGAAGAGCGAGGGACGACCATGGGTGACATGGTTTCGTATGTTCGTAGGAATTCTTTTGTGTCTCGTGAAGGGACGGCAATTAAGTGGGTTTCGAGGTATTCGGAGTCTTGGACGAGGACGCGGGGATCAACGACAGATGCGAGGGATTTGGTGGACAATGTGCCCCTAGGAAAGTGTCAGGATACAATTTGGCAAAATATTGGACTACATTAGGTATATCCTCATACGTTTGTCTCCGTTGGAGTGCAGCAAGTGTCGTTTTTCCTTGGGTATATTGTGAGAACTTGGCTCGAACGTCATTGTCGATGCTTGCGGCTTCCTAGAAACGAGGGAAGAAGAGGGAGTCTCATCAGCAGAAAGAATCGGTTGAAATGCAATATGACAAAGCATTTATCCCTCCATACCTTTTGAAGCAAATCAATCAATTCTGCCAATGACCTCTCTGCCCGGTATTTGACCTTATTCCACTGAAACGTCCTTAGATACTGCTCAACGGGCTCTGGTAAATTCAAGATACATGTCAGCTAAACCACTCTAGGCCTGGAACAATAAGGAGGGGAATCCAAAAGAAACAAAAAAGAGGAATCTCCGCCACCATACTGTCATTGACCGTTTTCATATTCGCAATCTGCTCCTCATCCCCCTCCAGAACATTCTTCAAAACATCCCCCACCTTGCCCACGACGTTATGGCACAGGGCTTCTAGCCTCGCCAGCTCGTCCGCCTGCTGCACCAGCGTATCCAGCGTCCCGATTTTAAACTCTGGGATGGCAAATGGGATGACCGTGCCATTATCTGAGGTGATGGTCTTGCTGATAGCTTCGAGAGCATCGTCACGGTGGTGGGAGGGGGTGATGGAGCTAGGGAGGGAGAGGAGGATGTACTTGGGTCCCTTGGACATTATCTAGGGTTATGTATACTGAGAATCCTCACCGCGCTTTTTGGTTTGTTTTAAACGGCGGGCATAGAATGTACTGGATTTCTTTTCAATCCCCCTTTTTGTTCCTGGTGAGCGGAGTCAATAAGAGCAAAATACGATGGATTTCCTGATGAGAGTTGAAGCTGTAAAGTGAGATGTGGACAGTGGTCAGCGTGTGGGCCAATCACGTTGCAAGTTGTAGCATCATCAAACCTTAATGAATTATGACAATAACTCCATACGTTAAAATACTTTCTTCTTTAACGTTGATGATCCTATTTTCTGATGATGCCAAATTCCAAAATTATGGTATAGTAGAGCGTAAGTTACTCATGATCTCATTAATGTATAGCTTTACCTACTATTGAAAAAGCGCAGCCGGAATTTTATTCCTCACCTGCGAATATTCAACACATATTATGTATGCCCAGTATCCAACCCCAAAGAATGCGGGAACTTAAAACACAAGGGTCAACCCAGAAAATACCAATCAGAAAGAAATAGTTTAATAAACAGCAGCACCCATCGTTGGGGGGGGGGGGGGAGAAATAAGACAAAAGAAGATGAAACGGCAGTCGGATGATATCTAACTGCAAGCTTCGCAAAAATGGAATATATCAAGACATCAAGTCGGTAATCCCTATCATGACGGCAGATACGCCCGAAACCAGCATACGATGATGTTTTATGTCGATTTAAAAAGTCGTGGAAGAGACTATGATCCCGGGTTAACAGAACGATCCAAGAGAAGTAGTTAGGACAGAAACAAAATAAAGGGAGGCCACGTACAGCAGCATTCTTCGGCTCGACAAACAACGCTTTCGCCTGAGCCACAACAAGAGGCTCCCGCCCCTCATCGGGTAGAGTCTCAATCCTCCCTTCAACCCATGCCTTGCGCCCTTCAACCTTCACCGTATTAGCGCGCACAACGAAAAACGACCCTGCAAGCGCCGGGCTGCGGTAGTCTATGTTCAAATTTGCAGTGACGCCAATGCCATTGGGTAAAGCAGAGAAGCAACACCTCGCGAGAAATTCGTCGAGAATGGTAGCGAGGAGGCCGCCATGGACAATGCCCGGGTGGCCAGAAACGTCCGAACCCAGATATAGCATCGCAACGAGGCTTTTCCCACCCGTCTCCGTCCAGGTGTAAGGGGGTACAGCGATCTTATTGGCGCCAGACAGAGTTCCGGCAGTGAGGTTGTGGGCGCGCAATTCCAGGGGAATCTTGAGGTGGGGTCGCGATTCGGTGAAGCGCTCATCTGTTCGCAGAGAGCGAGCTATGGGGTGATTGTAGATGAAGTCATCGATATCCTGCAAGACTTCGTCGGGAGCTATGTATTCAGATTCCTCGTCGGAGCGGAGTTGGTTGACGACCTGGACCATGGTGGATACAACGGGGCTTAGGGAGATTCCAAGAGTGAAGGAGAATATTGCGATTGCTGAGAAACCTAGGAAACGGCGGAATATGGAGGGCCTTTTGAATGAAGTATGGGAGGGAGGAGGAGGCAGAGGCTTGGGAGAAGATGGGTGGACTGTCTGGACTGTATAAAGGCATATGCAATCAGGGTCAGTTTATTTGACTTGATTGATTAAAGGTCCTCGGTAAATATATATATCACTCCGGAGTTCAATGGATTGAAATACAATGGTCGCATATGAAAAATTCGTCATACCTGAATAAGGTCTATTCGATGACGGGCTTGACGGCCGGGCTATGAAAAAGGAGCGTGACAAGGAAGCGCCGGAAGAAGTGGAAAAAGAAGAAATAGAGACAGGGAATGATACGCGCTGCTTTGAGATAAAGAAAATGTGATTGCCTGGGAAAAAAACAGGACGAGAGCGGAACGGAGCCATAGTAATTGAGCGGAAGAGATGCTTCAGGGGACCGCGCAAGAACCAATTTCTCAAAATAGATGGTGCAACGGTGCGCTGGTGGGCTCAACCACTTCCATCGAAATCAACCGACACTGGATGGAGCAGCACAAGCGACTCCTGAAGGCCAGGGTTCAAAATATCTGAACGGAGTTCGGATTCTTGCCAAGAATGTAGATAAGGCGAGCCCCACGGGCCCACCAGCAATGGTGCTTTCAAGGAGTTTGGATGCTGACCTTCAATTTTCCGGTAACCACTAGCGGAAGCTCGGGGGAACAAACACAATAAAAGGGCCCAATGCCTGCTGGGGGCATGGCACTTGTTCGCGAATCCGATATACGAAACTTAAATCCTGCAAAATTATCCGAAATCACCAACTTCATAGCTTTCGTGGTTCGAAAAAAAAAAAAAAAAGGGATGCTTACAAAGCCAACAAGGCTCCCCTTTCAAGTTAAGCACAAACGTGCATTTTTCAGCCGCTCAGGAAGGACAGTCGAGTTGCAGACGGTAATGAACCCCCGGCTGCAGGGGAAGCTAAGTGGGCTTCACTTGCAGGGAATCGGCTCAGCCTGCAGACAACCTACCTCGGCCCGTTGCTAAAATCGAAATTGGTTGGTTGGTAAAATAAGAAAATTCGTTGAACACAAAGAATAGCTAGAACAAAAAAATTGAAAAAAAGAAAAAAAAAAGGGAAAAAATATCGAGGAACGTGGGACTCGAACCCACAATCTTAGCTTAGCTTGGTCCCGAACTTCCCAGGCTAGGAGGGAAATCTTTGTCCAATCATAGGAGAGCTACGCATTACCCTTCTGCCAGTCCCTCAAGGCTTGGCTTTACCCATTACGCCACCGGGGCAGGGTAAGAGTTGCACGGACGGGCCACATGTGAATTAAGATGTAATGGGCTGCTAGTTCCTTCACTTGGACACCTACCAAACAAGATAATAAAGGCCTTAGAGACATTATAAAATACATCTTCATGATTTGGACATTTATCTTTTGTAACCTGCCATGCTGTGTTATATATATTATTTCATTACGTTGGTCTAAACGTTTATCGTATACATTTCGCTCCCATATATGGACCACCGAGCAACGAACAAACAAGATAAGCATTCATAAAGTGTTTAGTAGGAAATATAAAAGAAAAACCTTCACCCAAACCAAAACGGGAATATCATAAACATCAAGTAATATTGTAAGGACACATAATCGGCATATATATGGAGAAACAAATAACGAAACATCGAGGCGATCTAACAGCTGAAGACAGTCGGAACTACAATGTACATATACTTAACATCGTATTATTGCCCGGAATTGGAAATCTAGGATCCTCTGATTTAGCGAGAAAGGCTAATAACCTTGCTTGCCGCTTCCTCAAACGAGTCGAAGGCATGTAGCGGGAGCCTGCTGTCGGCAATCTAAGTTTGGAGTAAAAACAATTAGTCCCCCCTGCGTCGCGCTGATACACTTCCATAAAAATACCATCCCTAGGAACAATTGGCAAGGAAAAGGATCTGACATACCATCTTCTGCCCAAGTTCCTCATTGGTACCGCGCAGGCGAACAACAACAGGTACCTTCATATCCAAATCGCGGAACGCCATGATGATCCCGTTAGCGATCATGTCGCAGAGAGTCAGGCCGCCAAAAATGTTGACGAAGATGGTTTTCACGCGAGGATCGGAGAGGACGATTCGGAATGATGACTTTACCGTCTCGGACGTTGCTTTTCCGCCGGTGTCGAGGAAGTTGGCGCAGTGGCCGCCGTGAAGAGTCAGAGCGTCGACGGTGTTCATGGCGAGGCCGGCACCGTTAACTATAAGCGGTAGGGGTGAGAATTGTGGCTTTTTCTTTTCTTTTCTTTTGTTCTGCTTTGCCTTGTGTCAAGAGGGAACCATGAAAGGTTAAGACTTACCAAGTGTACCGATGCTTCCCTCTCCAGGAAGTCTAAATATCCTGTTGTTAGGATCCCATCTATCAAAGTATTTTTGGATAGCAGCACTCGTACTTGACATAGACAATTCCCTCTTTCTCAGCTTCGACTTCTTCTGGAACCTCTTGCGCCATATTTCGTAGTTTGTGGATATCTTCCTGTCTCTTCGAACTTTTGTATGCGGCATCATCGAAGCCGAATCGGGCCTCGGTAACCCGAAAACAACCATCGCTCCTCCCGGAGACTTTTGTTTCTAGCAGAAGAGCCTCCTTGTTTATAAAAATATCAAGCAAAGTCTGTGCGAACTTCGCAAGAGGTTCTAGAGATATCTCTCCAAGGCCGAGGTAGCTGGCAACCGCTCTGATGTTGGCCTGATTGGTAGTGAAATGTGTCTTGCCATATGTAAATGGGAATTTCCTAGATCGAGAGAGAAAAGTTGCCGGATTAGTGGTGGGAGAAGCAATAATGCATGGTGAACATGAGTTTCGATCTATAGAAATTCCAAAAAAGAAATCAGAACGTTCGTTCGATTCGCCAATCGCGACCCCTTTTTCCCCTAACAATTCAAATGACTGGGATTGTGTGAGGTAAAGGGTTCTGCGTTGTGGCATGATATGTTGCCGTCGTATGGTTGGTCGACGCAAAGTGTGGAATCCCCTCTGCTGTGCTGCAACCGCAACCGGGGCGGTCTATGTGCTGATGTCAGTGGGAACAATTAACTAGTTATGCATAATTTCATTTTCTGGCGCGGGAAGCTACCTGAAATGCGGGCCGTCCGCCCACATTGGTCAACAACGTTCTCATCCCTTCCCCGAATTTCTCTGGGTGGTCTACCATGACGGCGCCTGCATTTTGTAAAGCTCTGATCTTGGTTTGTGCATCGGGATCCCCCAGACCAGCCCATGCGCCTGCATGGCCCATGACCCGCCCAGGTGGAGCATAAATTCCGCTGACTACCGCCATGATGGGTCTGAATGCCACTACTATTAGTAAAGTAAACATTTCCACAGGGAGCAAATGTCAGTTTTCATACTTTGGTTCTGCAGTGCGTCTTCGATAGTCAAAAATCCACTCTGCAGCTGCAATTTCTGCTGATCCTCCGATTTCTCCAACAATTATGATTCCATGGGTGTCTCCGTCATGCTCGAAAAAGTTCAGTGCATCAACAAAGCTTGTACCAGCTACAACATCCCCTCCCACGCCTATGCAAAGACTCTGACCCAATCCTGCTCGTGTCGTTGCCGCAACGGTCTCGTAACCAAGAGTACCAGACTTGGCGACAATTCCAATATGCCCCGGCGCGAAACATGAAAGAGGCTGGAACCCAATTCTACATCTCCCAACAGCGGAAATGATACCAGGGCAGTTTGCGCCAACCAAACGAGATTTTGATTGGGTTTGAAGCATTGCGTGTATCTAGTGATGTCCGGTTAGATAATCCGAAACTCTTGGATATGTGGCCAGGTGATTCTCACTCGAAGCATATCATGAACAGGAACATGCTCTGCTACGGCGACTATTAGAGGAATCTCTGCTGCGATAGCCTCTTCAATGGCCTGTGCTGTTTGCGGCCCTGGCACGTAGATGGCAGTTGCATCTGGCTTCAGCTTCTCTTGTGCCTGGTATTGATTACACATGTCAGTGTAATTTGCTTCGCAACATATGTCAACCGATAAATGTACATACCACTTGGACTGATGGAAAGACAGGCAATCCAAGGTGTTCACCTTCCACACCCGGCTTTACACCGCCTACAACCTTGGTACCCCATGCTAACGATTCTTTCACATTCGCGGTCGCCTGTAGCAACTTTAGCTATACCAACCACAAGGTGAGTCTTTATTGGAAAGAGAAATTACCAGTCTACCTATTTTCAATATTTCAGCGACTGACTATAGAATTGCATACACCAGCGAGCAAGCCAAAAAATAAAATAAAAATAAAATAAAAAAATAAAAAATAAAACAAGTCAATCAATAACCAAGACACAGATTACATTCAACCCCAAACATACCTGTAAACCCCTGGAAGAGGACCCGGGTATGAGCACCAATTTTAAGATTCGGGAGAGTATCCGCATAGCTCTGAATCCGCGCAGATGTCGAAAAGTGGGAATGTAAATATTGGCCAATTCGAGCAATATGTCGTGAGTGGGGACGGCGAGATATCAGCGAAGGGGGTATGGATTTGAAAAAAATCATGGCTAGTACGTAACCTGAAGTTCGATTTCCGGCTCGACAGTAGGTAGGTAGGATATGGAAAAAATACAGTTGATATGTTTCTAGTAATAACAACTTAAAGACAGAAGAGAAGGAATGGGATTTTCAGGAATTTATCAACTTTTGAGTTTGGTAACGGGAAACGAAGAAAATCAAGCGGCGGCTTTCTCCAAACAAATGTTAAACAGGAAAATGGGTATCTCGCCTCATGGGATGGCGGGTTCGTGTCAGAGACATACAATCCAGAAATAAACTTCGTGATCTATCCAAAACGCAAAATAAATAAAAAATGTTACTAAATGTTTTTCTCAAAAGTAAGAATTGAGATTATTTCTGAGTGGTCCATTATAAACCGTAATATCTGAGTTAACTTGTGCTAGGAAGCGCATGCAGGATTTCCCCATCGATTTCGATGTGTTAGAGGCTTGCTGTTGAGAATGCGGAGATTGGATCTCGAAATAATAGCCTCGGGATTTTAGCCCGAAGCTAGCTAATAAAGCATCACCTCAGAGATCTAGTTTGGATCGGCGGAACGGACCCTGGCCGTGACGTTTGTTTCCTCAGCGCAAAGGCGAATAAGGATTGTCTGGCGAGCTGGATTGAAGTTCCTACTACGATGGGTTGGTACTCGGAGAATCACCGACTGGTGATGTGCGAAACCATGTATTTACCAAGGGCCTCTACACAAGCAAAAGTCTTCCTTTTGAATTCGAATGTCTGATATCTGCTTCTCCTTCCGGACATTCTATCTCTGGACAATCTTCATTGTTTCGCCACGTAGCTATGCAAATAACTATATTAACTAACTGTTGGCGAGGTGATTCTATACTCCACCAAATAGGTTACTTACATATATTATTTATAGTGGTAGGGTCTCGGAGAGCGTACCCTGTATTAGATATCATATTTGAATTCGCCATCTCCTTTTTTAGTATTTGTGCTTGCGTCGAAACTTTGGCGAGGTGTATGCATTGAGAGATTGCTATGACGAAGGGAGAATCTTGTGATTTTCTGGGATCTATGTCAAGGATGGTAGGAGCATGTATCCATCATACTGCGTATATTGGTATTGGTTGAATGAATATTTAAGATGTATATTGTTGAAAACAGTCATATATTCTCTGATTAAGAAACTATTTAAATGAGGAATTTGCCGGAGTAGCACTGTGATCAAAAGCGCATATTTTTTTCAGCAAGATACTTTGAATAAAGATAAGATACAAAAAGTAGTTCCCTTAGAAGCTAACTTCTAAAATCACAGGGTTGGTTGCCTTCTACACAATATTCAAACTGTTTGAATGGATCCATGGATTGATCTGGACTCTTTTTCTGCGTATCTCAACAGGTTGGGAGCCGTGGACAACGTCTCTGTGTATTGTGGCGGACGTAAAGCTTGCGAAAACAGAATTTTCTGCCACCCCCTGAAAAATAGTAGCAAAACACCGCAGAAATAACCAAAACATCCACGTATCTCTAGAATCATTCAAATATCATCCAATTCATTCAAATACGCACCTTTATCATCAAATACACACCTTTATCATCAAATTTGTCAATATGCTCTGCAACACTCATCATTTTACTATTTTACAAGTTTATAAAAGAATTTCAATTACTCTGCATTTTCATCTACTCAAATCACCTGTTTCAAATGTTCTGAATAATGATAAGAATCCAACTGATGATGAGAAGAAGAATAAAAAGAAGAAGAAGAAGAAGAAGAAGAAGAAAAAAAAAAAAAAAAAAAAAACACAATTAGAAAATTTTCAATTTCTACAAACATCTATTTCTAAGTCTGAGATCTCATTCAGATTGTATGAATGAGTGATTATCAATGAAATAAAAAAGTCTATAAAAATCAAGTTACAGAATATTACAATAAATGATATGATTGTCTGCTTCTACAATGCCTTGGAGGAAGTTTGAAACTACTGAGACTTTTAATCAATATTCACTAATTCAAAAATAGTTTAGTGTTTGCACTGTTTATTGCTGTAACTAGCCCTAATTAATTACATACAAGATTGAATTTCATCTAGAATCCAACTTTGAAGGCCACGGCGGCCGAAAGTGGCAGGCGGTTGGGCTGCTTCCGGCCGCCCATGCACCCCGGATTCGCACCCACACTAGCCGCCACTAGACCCAATCTGGAATCCACCCATCGCCGCTTTTTGGGATACCATTTGACGCCCGCGGCCGGGTCCACGGCCTCACCTTCTGCTCGCGCGACTGCTCTCGAATCGCTCACCCACTCACTCGCCCATTCGCCCAGCTGGAGCGCGCCGTTTCTGGCGCTCAACCCTTCAACCACGATGGCCGCCGGGATAGTCCTGGATTCCCCATTCTATAAATACTATCATGTCTCCCACCCCTCTCCCTCCTCCCTTTGCCTTCCGTTGCCCTTGGTTCCTCTGCAACTCATTATACCCAAGTCACCAGTCCCCCTCCTATCCGCCCCAACTCCCTTGCAGAGGGCTGGTCTACCCCGGCCTTCCTCCATAGAATCTCTTTTCTATCTACCTACGCATCAGCGACAGCCTCACGCGCCCACTGAACGTTATGCCAGTTGGGAGGCCCAAAGTGCCGAAAGCTGGCAGATCACGCACGGCGGGTCGCCTGGATTCACCCAGAAAGCCGAACTACAGAGCCATATTGGAACAACATGAGGCCGCTGGCCGCACATCCAGAATCTACGCCGCAAATTCTCAGAAAAGTGTGGGGACGGTCCGGCGGAAAGTTCAACGGTAAGTGTTGATCTCTGTAAGGAAATTGAATTTACCTTCTTACGGAGAAAAGCTTCTGCTATGCCGAACTGAAGACTACGGAAGAGGAATTCCTTGAGAATCTGACGGCGGGCCGAGTCAAGACATATTTTGACTGGGTCGAGGACACCCACCGGAACAGCATCAAGGCAGCATCGGCCTTTGACTCTTACTGGCGGGTCCTGAAGATCCTGTATGTGGAGCGCACTGGCCATGGCATGGACAGTGGGATGGAACAGGATTGTCTGAACGTAAGCTCATCCAAGTGACTGACGTTGCTCCAGCTGATGGGTGCCCTGCACAGTATAAGAACGTCGTGATCAAGAGATGGGGTCTCCGGCGACGGCGGAGGAGGGGCACGTCTGGCACCAAGGACGATGTGTACCGCATCCTCCACGCCCATTGGACACGGTGTACGAAGGCGTATGCCGATGAGAAGCAGCGACTCTACGTTGCTGCAGGTATCCTCTTGTCCTTCATCTCCGGTGCCAGGCTGGTCTCGCTGTTCGACACCCGGATCAAAACCGGTGATGCGGAAGCCGGAGACGGACAGTCAAAGGGAGTATCGCACACAGCGAGCAGGGGCTCAAAGAACAGGACCAACCGTCGGCGTCACCGTCCCCGAGCCACAGGGCCCACCCCCGATCGCTACCCAACGGCGGGATCCGGGATCGGCCAGCACGGGAACAGACCCATAGCACTAGAGAAACGCAAGTGGGCTCTTTCCGACGATGACGAGGAATATCGCGACACAAAGAAGGCACGAATCATGGCTCCCCGAAAAAGCTGTCGCTCCGCCCGAGAAGAAGCGTCCTGCGGCAAATACGGGATGCGCGGTGAAGACGTTATGTACGATCCCCTGGATAGCGACATGGATAGTCATATGAGCAATGATACGGACTCTGACTCAGGGTATGTTGATGAAGAGAGTGACAGCACTAGCGGCAGCTCCGAGGAACCCCTGTTTGGCGAGCTCGTGCGAGAAAACGATACCGACACCGAGTCGAGTGCAGAGTCAGTGGAGAGCGGCTGCACCAGCGATACGTCCGCCGACAATGACATCAGTGAACTTGACCGCTTCATAGAGGACGTGACGGACGACGAGTATGATGCGGGCCCTGAGGAGACTGGGGCCATTGTCTGGCGGCATATCGGCTTCCACATCATTCGGAGCCCTGTGGCTGGCCGGCCAAACATTCTCCTGGCCAAGGTCACACTCCTCCACACCAAGGGTGAAGACAAGAAGCCGCGAGTGTAGCTATGCAACTTTCCCTCTTCTCAACCCCCGTACTGCATTAAGCTTCATCGACTGACTGACGATGCAGGAAAACATTCATCAGCCATAATCCGGAGCCGCTCCTGGATCTTCTGGGGCACTTTCTCTCCATGGCAATAGATGACGAGATCTTCGCGCCCGAATTCGAGAAGCTCGAAGACATCTACTGGTATCCCATCCCGTCCTACCTAGGCGGTATGAGCCTAAAGATCAAGGCAGAGATGCTGGACGTGCCGGTGTTCCGCCAGCCGGAACGCACGGGCGATGGGTATCGAACATCAGAGAAGACGCCGCTCAAAGGATCTACATGGAGCGGCTACCTCAGACACCTTCGCCTGGTGGCTGGGTTCAAATATAGTCTGACCCAGTATGTCTGGCGACGCTCTCTCATCAACGCCATCAACAGTATGTGCCTGCCCCACTACTCTCCTTGGTCCCTTCGTCTATCCTCTCTTTCTTCCCATTTCCCCTGGCCAGACTAACTGCTGACCTACCGGATCCGCAGACAAAGCTCCGTCCTCCGTTCGGGATCAAGTAGCCGATCACGAATCCAATGCGGTACGGTACTATCTGGACACGGTCATCCGCTTCGATCTGGAAGCCGCGGCCATGGAGCTTCCGTCCAACGATGTGGTCCAGAAAGCAGCCCATGGGCTGTTCTTGAACGCCGACGCCACTGCCCCGACGGAACTTACCGACGAGTTGAAAAGAAAGATCACCGAGAATCCAAAGATCATAGAGCTTACCGAGCGTAGTAAAGAGCTGACCCGGAAGCTGAGGGCGATGGGATTCCGTTCCGTGCCGGCAGCGCGGGGCAAAACTCCACTGTACGAAGAGAAGATGAAGGTGGTTTCCCGGCTGAACCGCAGCAAAGTTTACCTTCACTCCAAGCTTATTGAGCGGCAGAGGCGGTGGCACTTCCGGCATGCTGATACGGAGCGATTCAACCAGCGACTCCGCAACGGCGCGGGCGGTGGGTCTCTGGATGAGTGTCCGGCCCCGCCACCACTTCAGATCTCAGAACGGAGACGGGTCGTCGAACTGACGTGCGCTGGCACTCAGGAACTGACTGAGGATGAGCAGTTCGCGCGCCGGTGTGCGTGCATCATCGTTTGGTTCAAGCTGCAGCGTCGGAAGGAGGTTCAGCGTCGGGGCCGTCACAAGAAACACCAGCCGTCCCAGCGAGATTTCCAACCTGACCCGCCCCTAGACACCGTGCGGGCGAAAGAATCCATTCCGGCGAAGCTGGGCGAAAAGCAGTGCCCATTCTGCGTCGCTGATACCTCGTTGCCTTGGGGGGAGCGGATGAAGGTCCGGGAGCGCACGAACAAGTTCTGGAACCATATCGAGAGCGTCCACCGCGAGGAGCTGAAAGCGTACTCCACCGGACAAAAGCACTGCGGGATCTGCAAAGTACAGGGTGTCACCTTCACTCCACCATCCATCATGGAATTCAAGAGTCATACTCTGAGCGTACACGGCCCCCGTCTGCGCGCATGAGATGCAGATCGCGTCTGCAGAACGTAGAATCCAGAGAACGATACATAAACGTGACTAGTGACTGATTGCTTGAGATAATTCTCCCCTTACTGTAGGCTACATCCTTACAGAGTTGACTATAATCGCGAAAAGTACGGTCTCGTGAATGAATCCACCACTATTCAGGAAACTAAGTCAAAGCCTTAGGGTCAACTTGCGTGCATGTCTTTCCCTCATAGTAATCTTCGCTTGGTGCTGGTTCTTGTTATCACGACTGGCCCTAATCCATTCTGGGTCAAAATCCTTCCGTCCCAGCTCGTCCTCCATTACACAAAACTGAGGGTCAAAGCAGGTGGGGTTACCTCCCTTTAGATAGATAGATTCAATTTCTCAATTACACTCGTTTCACTGTACATTCCAAATGGCAAAACTCAACCGTCTGGGTTCTACCTAGTAGCTCTTAATAACACCAACGACAACCTGGTGACACGTTCTGCAGGTTTTATCAATGGGGGGGAGCGCATTCCGGGCAATACCGATGTCCACACAGAAGAGTCCGTCACCCTGACGGGATGGTATACCAGATCTGGCATCGACATTGATGCTTCAGCTCACGGACTTCGGTCTCAAGCTTGTCAACGAGCTCGTTCTTCCTGGTCATTTCCGTACGCAGGTTCTGCACTTCTTCCTCCAGCGCCTCTCTCCGCGCATGCTCCGCCTGGAAAATGTTATGGATTTCCTGGTTCGCGGTTTCCTATCTCAATATCAGCCAAGAAGGAGTCCCGCCATGAGCCCTACAGGGAGG